GATGGGTTTTTGTTTGTGTTTATTTTCTATGCATGTGAACTATATGATTGCTTGGTGTTTTGGGGGTGAGGGTTGGGGTGGGGTTGGGTTTGGGGTTGGGGTGGGGTTGGGATTGTGATTTGGCTATTCCATGTTAAGTCAAGGATATTTGAACTTTGAATTTGGGAGAAAAATGCCTTCAACTAGATCTACAAAGGGAAAATCAGACGTGGCATGACACCATTTAGACCGGGTCCCAAAGGGAGATCAATTGAAAATGTGTGCATATATTATGGTAAATAAAAGGGAGGTGGAATTCAAGGGTTAAGTAGCATTTGGCCTACAAAAAACTAGGAATGTGGATAAGTGCACCAAAATTTCCTCTCACATGATGTTTGAGATGCAAAAAAGCATTGAACATCATGTGGTTGAGAAGAGGAGCCAAGAAATTGCCAATGACATAGGGAACCCTTACCCAACCCAAGAGGGAAGCTTTTTGATATCGATAGGGAAGTGATGAGGAGCCCCCCAGATACAGAAGAGACTTGCAACATAGCTAGTGTCTTCCCCACCTTCTATGTTTAAGACCTGGTCCAGGTGGTGGGACAGAAGGTTATTTTCCACCTAGGACAACACGGGCTCCTAGCCAACCATCAGAAGTGTGTTGGCCAAGGAGAAATAAAAAGAACTGGTAAACATGAGTGTCGCTTGGTGAATGTATCATAACTTTCACAATTAATGCTCTCAACTCCTATGTCCATCCTGTGTTGGATGTGGTGACATCCGTAGATCCGCACTATAAAGGCCACTCTTATCATGATTCAAGAATTTCATTACTAAAGAAGAATGTGGATGAGGTGATGATGTACAGAGGATCGTTTAGGGAAATATTGGAGAGGAAGGATGCTCCGTTGTAGCTGATGGGTGCATAGACAATATAGATAATTAATTTTTTGGTGTATTGTGTAAAAGGGACTGTTTTCTTGAAGTCAGGGGATGCCTCGAGACAATTAAAACTAGGGTGGCATTATTTGCGCTGTTTAAGGGAGTTGATCTGCAAAATGTGGTCCAATTCATTACAGATCATGCAACCAATTATGCGCTTCTGGGGCAATTGCTACAAAAGCATTATCCAACTATATTTTTGGCATATTGTGCAGTATATTGTATAGATTCAATGCTAGGGCCTATAGGGAAGATGTCTCACATTGAAAAGGTTGTAGACAAGGATAAGAAAATAACAAAATTAATTTTCATCCGTGGCTTTGTCCTCAATATTATGAGGAAGCATACTCAAGGAAGGGAGTTAGTGAAGCCTGATATTACAAGATTTGCTACAAACATCCTCACTTCACGAAGTATGTTGCCGCAAAAGGATAACCTCAAATCCATGGTTACTTTGGTCGAGTGCTGGATACCATATGGACTAAGAAAACTAGAGGGGAGGAGATGGTGGAATTGGTTTTTTGAGTAAGTTTTGGAGTAATGTTGCCATTGTAAATTGAGCTACAAGGCCCTTGGTGAAGGTTTTAAGGATTGTAGACAGTGATTCTAGACCTATCACATGATATATGTATGAGGCAATGTACAAGGTCAAGGAAACAATAGCAAACACTTCTAAGCATCAGAAGGGCATTTATGAGACATGTTGGAAAATTATTGACGATACACAGAACAAGCAATTTCTTCATCATATACATGTAGTTTCTTAGTATCTTAATCACAGTTCTTCTACAACAAAGCCACATTTTCAATCCATCTTGAGGTTACCATGGGTTCGTGTACTATGATGGAAAAGTTATACCAGACACACATTTACAAGTGAAGATTGGAAAGTAAATGTTTGCACATCAAGATGCCTTAGGTCTATTTGGGAGGGTAGTATCAGTTGCTTTGTGTGGTCAAATCCTCGCATTAATTAACTTTTTTACTTTTTCTTGTTAATCAACTCATTAGTCATTGTAATGTGTGGCGTTTATTTTTCTGATGTAACGAGTATCTCTAATCCTCTATAATGTATTATTCAATTTTCAATTTCAGTGAATTGGTGGACATGATTGGGAGGAGAGATCGCCAACCTTTAGAGTTTGACTCTCAGTCCTCTCAGGCAAACTTTTAGTGCATGCGGCTATGAGAGGAATTGAAGCATTTTCCAACATGTCCATACGGATAAGCGAAATACCTTAGAGCGCAAAAGGCTAACAACTTAGTCTCTTTGGTGCAATACCACCTGAATTGAAAGGGGTAATATGTTCTTGTTAATTTGTCCAATATGCTCTAGTATTCTTGACTTCTTTCTCATTTCTTATAATATGTAATGATTTGAAAATTGACGTTTTGAGTACAATATTTCACTTGGGTTCTGTAAGGATATTGAAATTGTGGGAAACTTTTATCTTTCTGAGGGATATGGAATCATGTTATGAAATTATGGACTTGTGGGACTTGTGGAATGTAATGTTGTACAGTTGTACTATTTTCATATTTATGATTACGAGATTCTGGTTTATTTGTTCTCATGTTTTGTGCCTAAATTAGTTGTTTGACTTATTGTTGATTTTTGGTATGATAATTTTGAAATTTTTTAAATTTATCTAGATCTTTCAAACTTTCTTAATTTTCTCTTTTCTGAATTTTTTCCTTATTTTCCCATATATTTTAAGCATCAGTCCAACCGGTGAACCAATCCGATCTGGATAGTATGACTGGACCAATGCCCACACCATTTCCCTCATCTCTAGTCATGACAACATTGAGGAAAAGTATCGAAGCGAACGACTATGCCCAATGAAGTACAAAAGGAAGTCCTTGACAGGTTAAGAGAATGCAGATGAGCATTAATGCGGCTGATCATTTTCTCTAAGGGACTCTTTCATGGTACATTTGAGGCATGAGAGTTTCCCAATTGGCACTCACAGCAACTTATGCCAACGAAATTCCTAGCTACAGTGGTCATGTTTATCTCCTAGACTTTCCTAAGAACCTTTACAGCTTGCCGATCTTTAATATTGCCAATCTCTACTAGTTTTGAGGAGATCCACCTATACACCTGGAAACCTGGATGTTGCTTCCCTAGAGATTGTAGAGCTACCGAGAGCCAATGACAAGATAGAGGATGTGGATGTTTGTACCGTTGATACACAGCATGATCGATACATGAGATAATGCATCATTAGCAAGATCGCCCATTGACTGATTTTATTGTTGAATTGAGCGTGAATTGCGAGGAGGAAGGATCCTTATCATCATTGTGTGGAGTCAAACTCGGCAAGCACAAGTTCTTCTGAAGCCAAGGAGAATTGATGAGGCCATCATGGCATGAGGATACAAATTTGTTTAATAGTAAAAACTAAGGTTATTTGGTAATTTCAACATTCAAGAAGGTGGATTCCGCTGCCTAGGCGGTCACCCAAATACCTAGGCGGCCTATAAGAAAAGAAGAAAAGGGGCCCCTAAGGCGCCCTTGAGGATGATATCTCATCGGAGGGGAATCTGTTTCTTAAGTAATTCCTCTGATTGAGTGCATAGAACGTCAATTTTTTAAAGAACATTGTTCCATAGTTTTTTCTGGGTGTATTTTACAAAAGAAACATCGTTCTGAAGCCAAAGAAAATGATAAGGAGGTCATGGAATGAGGGTATAATTTCTTTTTATAGGGAAAACCAAGGTTATTTTCTTATTTCAATGCTCAAGAAGTTGGATTCGGCCATCTAGGAGGCCAAGGGTCCTAGCTGCTTAGGTGGGCACCCAAATTTTTTTCGAATTATTTTTTTTATATTTTTATTAGGTGCGGCTTGATGAGAAGAACACACGCCTAAAATTTCAAGTGATTTGGATTTGTAAAAAAAATTAAAATTCAAACACTATCGGGCATCCGTGATCGTCAAATCGGTCCAGATTCAATCTGGGCCGTTGGGCTCATTTTTACTTGTGAGACCACTGGCTCACAGGATCATTTTCTTATATATATATATATATATAAGGAAAAGCTGACGTTAGCCCACTAGCTAATAGCTACAGTGGTAGCCCAACAGCCCCTTATTGAATCTAGGTCGATCCAATGGTCATGATTTAATTTCGTAGTTTAATTTTAATTTTTTTTTACAAACTCAAATCACTTGAAATTTTTAGCGTCCACTCTTGTCTTCAAGTTGCATCTAATAAAAATATTAAAAAAATAATTTGCATAACTCTTAATAACACCTATAGGCGAAATTGAATAGTGTTTCGCCTTGCCACAGACATATTATGTTCGTTGTGGTTTTGCTTTAAAAACCGTCACGGATCTACGGGAGTCGTTGCGGTTTCCTGTATTTTTTGAGTGAAAAAATACCGCCACAAACAAAACACAGGAAACCATGACGGTTCCCGTAGATCCGTGACAATTTTTAATGCATTACAGATTCAAAATCTCATCTCCCAGGCATTAAAACAAATTCCTAGAATTACACAAGTCTGATTTACACAAGTTTGTTGATTAGTTTTATGCATGATTACCAGATGAAATTGTGGATATTTTAGGGTCTTTGATACAAAGACTTGTGAGTGACTGATCTTAGTTTAGTTCACATTGGATATAACATAAATTTAAATACAACAATATGCATGTAATAGTAAAAGATAAATTAAGAATAGCGTACATGTAAATAGCTATCCGTGTGTGTGGGAGAAAAGAGAGAGAGAGAGAGAGAGCAGTGGATGAACTAAACCACAATATGAACTAAACAACAATGGAGGAAAAATGGGTAACCTCCAAACAAGGTAAGGATGAGAGGGTTTTACAAGGATTTGAAATTCATGTGGTTAAATACACATGGAATAGGTAGGAAGGAAAATATGACATGTAGAAAATTATAAAGAAACAAGTACAATGTCTCCACTATCATAATAGTGTTTTCGATATTTGAATTTTAATGTCACAATAGTCGCGCTCATCTTAACAAGATCCTGATAGAATATGTCACAGAGTAAATTTCAATTGCTATGTCATATACACTGTAATCTAGCAGCAGGGTAAGTACCTGGTATCCTTCATTACGAGCTATTTCAATCACGCTCTTCCGAGTAATCCCAGGTAAAATTGTCCCTTCTATTGGGGGAGTCGATATTACATTACCCTTTTAAACAAATATAGTAAAAGAAAACATGTCAGTGTCACACCAGTGAAAGAAAACTCACCCACTTGGCCCCCTTGGTGGGATAAGGGCTATCCAAACCCATTGGGGCCTAAACAAAACCATTTTTGGATGTGAGGCCTATCCATGTCGCTTACACAAGTGCATATTTTCTCTCTCTCTCTATTTATACAAAGAAGATAACCTGACAGTCCACTCTCCCCAGATCTCTCTCACGGACCCATATGCTCTCTCACTCTCTCTCTACATATATGAAGAAGTAGAAACAAAGACTACCTCCAAGCATTCGATGTGAGGCCTCTCTCTCTGTCTTAAAGACTACCTCCAAGTGTTCGATGCAAGGTCTCTCTCTATCTCCCTCCCTCTCTCTCACACACACATACATGGACTCATATACTCTCTCTCTATCTCCCTCTCTCTCTCTCATGCACGTGTGCCCGTGCGGACTCATATTCTCTCTCTCCCTCTCCCTCTCCCTCTCCCTCTTCCTCTCTCTGTCTTGCTCTCTCTCTCCCCCCCTCTTCTCTCAAAATAGAGAAAAACTCACAAAATTTCAATGATTTTAAATTCATTGAAATATATGTGAAGCAATATGATGTTCTTAAGAAAATTACCGTAAAAAGTACCAGAATTTAAATCAGATAAATATGGCGTACCTTCACGACAAAAATATTACAACCTGACACTTCCTCAAGATATTTTTTGTGGATAGCATCCAAGTACAAGACCTCATTGTAGCCTTTCAATTTAGCATTGGTTTGCGCCTTCAAAACCTGAAAATAAGAAAATGAGTATCCCAATCTATGCAACAATTTAATGTTAAAAAAAACAGATCAGTGACTTTGATCGCCCATCCCAAAAACTAGTCAGGATCGGCGAATCGATAGCTGGATGGGTGGATCAGCCATAGTCGGAAATAAAAAATTTTCAAAAAATATTAAAATTCATTATAAATATTATTTTTTGGGTTTCAAAAAAAAATAAGAGTGGTACATTATGGACTTTCATGACTTCACAAAACTACATGAATATTGGGACAGTTTCCTATCAAAGTGTCTAATGATATTAATTTTAATATTAATAGTTTATATAAATTTTGATACAATACTTTTTACAATACAATACTTTTTACAAAAATTTTGATGTTATAGATGGTGTAATTGTGGGTTTGAACACAAATTTATACGAAACTATGCTATACATTTCGTGAATGATATCAGGTACAGAATGGACGTGACAGGAGATGATAAACCCAATTCAAGAGAAAGAGTGTGTGAAAAAAGATAAACCCAATCCACGGGGAGAGAGAAAGCATGGAAAAAAAAAAAACCGATCCAAGCAAGTGTGAAAAAAACCAATCCAAAATTCAAGAGGAGAGAAAAAATCCACTATGCTTCTATAAACTCACCTGGAATTGAGGAGAGAGAAAATGCCTTCTCAATTTCTCGGAGAGAGAGAGAGTGGGAGAAACAGAGAATCCCTTCTCAATATCTTACCATTTCTAAACTTCGAACACTCATCGAAAAAAAAATTAATAATCTTCAAAAACTCTCACTCTCTCTTCTTTTCATGATAAACTTCGCAGTCTCTCTCTTCTTTTCGCAATAAACATTGTATCTAGTATATTGGGAGGGGCCTAAAAAGGGAACTTTAATAAGATGAGATGTAAAGATATCTTTCTTTAGTCCCACATCGGGGATTTCCATAGCACTTCCATGAGCTAAGGCCTATAAAAACGTAGTAACTAGTAATTGACCTGTGTGTTTTTAAGCAAGCAGCACGTATGTCGGTGGGCCCTAGGTTCATTTGAGCATTAGCAAAGTTTGTAAATAAAACAAAAACAAGAGGGTCCGAACTCGAACTCGAACTCTCTTAAGTGAAGGGTGGGCTGCTTACACCCTTTGCTAAATTAAAAAAAATTTCCAATGAAACTTTGTTAAATCATAAAAAAATTTCAAATGAAAGTTTTTTAAAACAAAGTCGAAAAGGACAGTTCTTTCTAGAACGAACGTATTCTCGATTCATCAAGGAGATCGACATGGGTCCACCTTTATCAAGGAGACCGACATGGGTCCACCGCAACTCTCTTTTTGTCATGCATAAGATGCTAGAATAGACATCTTTGCAGTGTCCTATTTTCATCCGGTGGTCCATATGCCACGAAATTATCACAACAAACAATGAAATTAAATATAGCAAAGTCAAGGAAGTACCAACATAATAAACCTAAAAAGCATCGAGCCTTAATTTGTAGATATCTAAGCATCTGGTTCAATCATTAACATTTCAAAAAACATGTAAAGGCAATTCTTATGAAGCGCTTCAAAACTTATTGAATGATTCAATAGACGAATAAATCAAAGAAAAAACAACATGCAAGGATTTCCTTACCGCTGCATAGTTTCCTATTGTCTTTATACCACCAGTCCCACCTGGAGTGGCACGATGATATTCAGTTTCAACAATCAAATTAATTGGAGCCAAACCTTCCTGAAACATATATGAAACAAACTTTATTTTCAGAACACAATAACGATCTCTTACATGCTCTTACAAATAAATAAATGAATATATATGTATATAGACACGCACGCACACACATATAACTAAAGAAATCCTAAACAAATTCTAAATGAAGAGAGAAGAATAATCAGGAGTCTAAGTAAATAACCGATTTCATATGACACTTGGATGAGAAAACACAAGTACAATTTATCTTTGCACCCAAGAAAATGCTTCAATAAATTATGTTCTTAACCACCTTTTTCACCTTAAACATGATCTTTTTCTCAATCTATGAAGGTCTAGCCAAAGACAAGATTGAACCAAGACAGTAGAGCACTAGGGTGAACAAGTTTCCATTTGTCTGGGGTTATCTATACTACATTGTTAAACAAGAGTTAAGGGGTAGACACGTGTTGCAAGAATAAGAAAGAACCCTAATCCTAAGACACATTACCCCATCTATAGGGAGAGAGAGACGTGTACCCTCTTTAGAGGGAAAGAGATAGACGTAGATGAAAGAGAGGTGTGAGATATATATGGAGAGAAAATTAAAGAATGAGAGATTTTTAAAAGATAGAGAATCTTTAAAGAGAATTTTATGGTTCCTATAAACTTTATAAAAGTATTGGTATAGAGATATAGGAAGAGAGGTGTGCACCCTCTTTAGAGAGTGAAAGAGAGGCATGGATGAGAGAGATATGCATACCTATATTCAAGGGAAGAGATAAAGGGAGAGAGAGTAGATGAAAGAGGGGCGTGAGAGAGATATATGCAGCGAAAGTTAAAGAATAAGAGATTTTTAGAAGATGGAATTTTTAGAGAGAATGATTGTGACATCCATGTATAAAGCATATCTATTTATATCTCTCTCTAATTAGGATATGGAATCTCTCTGTTAGATCTCTCCAAATCGAAAATAGTCTCTCCCTCTCTCTCCTCCACATAAATCACGTATCCATAGAAAGATAAAGACGTGGATGAGAGAGAAGTGAGAGAGACGCATAACTATATTCAAGGGAAAAGAGAGAGAGTATGTATTTCTTAAAATATTTCGCACTATCCCAAAACAAACCCTAAATCATGTAGAGAGATTTTTACATCCTAAAACAAACCCTAATCATGTAGAGAGAAATTTTTATGGAAGCTTAGAGATAGGAGATTTGGAGAGAGAGAATGCATGAGAGAATTTAGGAGAAATGAAAGATTTTTATAGAAGCTTATATTAGGGGAGAGAGATAAGGAAAGGTGGCGAGAGAATACGTGTAGGGAGACATGTGGAGAGAGAGACAAGATATTTTTATGGAAGCTTATGTGCAAGGGAGAGGAAAAAAGGAAGTGGAGGAATAGAGAGGGTGTGATAGATTTTAGGCGTGATGAAAGATTTCTATGGTAGCTTTCTGTGTAGGGGAAGATAGAGAAATATGGAGAGAAAGTGCGTAATAGAGATAGAGATGTGTAGAGAGACAAAAAATAAAAGATATATATGGATATATTAAAGATATTGGTTGCGAATATGTTATATTAAAGATATTGGTTGTTAATATCTTGAATATATTGGTTGCCAATATATTATATATTGAAGGGGCATTCTCTCTTTGTTTACTTTCTTCTTCTTCTATATTTTCATGTACATTCTTTCTTGCTTTACTTTCATCATTTTTTGTTTATTTTTATCATCCTTTTGCAAGTTTTATGGCTTAAATTTATGGTGGTAGATATGTATGAATTTGAATAGGTCATAGAAGTCCCCTTAATCCTGAAAATTATTACGCATTTAATTCACATGATATTTGGATGTCTAGAAACAATCAAAATAAATTGGGTATTTATAAGTCTAACTTTTTGAAATTTTATAAAACAATCTAATGCATGGTTTCTCAAACTATTGGAATTTTGAAATGAAATCAAGCCGATCTAAGCATGGACACTAGTATTAGTAAATTAATACGTAAAATAATTTCATTTCATGGATGGACATCCAATGAAAAAGTCATTACACATTATACTTGGTTGAGAAGAGAGAGAAAGAGGATGATTATATAATGTAATTAAAGAGAGAAAGAAAGTAGGTTGAAGAGAGAACGAGAGAGGATTCCATGTAATGGATTAGAATGTTTACTTATTATAAAACTTGCAAGTTTTTAAAATCTCATTTCTTTTTTTTATTGTAAATTTGATTTGTTGCTAATTTTTTATCCACTTGAATATCATATACTTTGAATTCACTTATGATAATTTTTCCTTTATCTAAAAATTATAGAAAGTTATTAAACACTAATTTTCAAAATATCCATCCGTGCATACCATAATTTCATGATTGCATTATTTAGTTGCAACCTATATACAACTAAATTTCCACAATCTGAATTTAACATTTTGAAATGTAAAAATAAAATATGTTTTCTTTACTATTAAACGAAATAATTATAACATATTATATATTTTATAAATAATGTCTTATTCACTTTTAAAATATTATAAAAATATGTAATGTTGTTTTCCATAAAAATTTTCGAAGTTTATATCAAATTTCCTATTTTTCTCAAAACAAATTTTTAAAAGTTCCTTGCAAACTATGTTTATATTTCAATAATAGACAATGGCAAAAATGTTGTTGATTTATTACTATGATGTTATAGATTTCATTGATTTTATATCACATATTTATACGATAATTTGTGTGATTGCTTGTTTCACAATTACGTGCAATGCATGTAATTCAACTAGTGTTAAGTAAAGCAATTGTTGGGACTCCAGTGAGCAAACCTTGTAATTCAAACATCTTACATGAAATCATCTAAAAAGATGCAATTTACAAACATAAAAATAGAAGGAATTGCACTATAAATTTGCAAAGATAGTTTACAAAGGCTATCATTGAATACATTCAACAATAAAGACCTCATTTTGAATGGAACCAACCACTTGAAAGATTACTTTCAAAGCGCCAAAGGAAAACAAGACCCACATAATTCAGAAGGACGATTGTGAAATAGGTTGCAATTATCTTACAATGTGAGTAAGAGTTTAGGACCTTCGAACATAGTAGAGTACACATACATAGGAGCCCACAAGGCAATGAGAGGAGTGTGGATTCTGAAAAGGAACTTTGAGGGACAGGGATCATCAAGGGGCATTCATTAAATGGGCAATGAGAGGAGTATGATTATGAAAAGGAATTTGAGGGACAAGAATCATCGAAAGGGATTCACTAAATGTCTTAAAGATAGCTCCAATGATTTAAAAAGCGGATCGCCCAACGTCTAGGCGGCCGCCTAAGCGGTCCAATAGGGTGTGGGCCCATCGCCTAGGCCTAAGCAACCAAATTAGGCAGGATATCCCTAAGCGCCCGCCTAGGTGCCCGAGAACCCACCTAGGTGGGCACCCAGCGCCTAGCCCTGAGCGACCTCCCAGGGCCTGCACCCTGCCTAGGGGAGGAAATGCCCTCGTTGAGGACATTTTTTGGCAATTTTTTTAGTACTAAAGGGAAAAAATTGTGGGTTTTAGGTTCATTTGAAACCTAAAACCCATTAAACTATGGATAATTGGATATGGACTTATGGTTATGGAGTATGGAGCAGTGTGTGTTGTGGACTTGTGTACTATACATTTGATGTGCCCTAAATCCCTAATTCTTATGTATTATACAGTTATACTTATATTGTTAGACTATAAAGATATTTTTCTTTCTATTAGGCCGCCAGGTTCTAGGCACCTGCCTCGGTGATGGGCGGCCTAGATCCCCCTGACGCCGCCTAACACTTTTTGAAACGCTGAATAGCTCTAAAAGAAGTGGAGCTATCCATTTAGTAAATCCCCCTTGATGATCCATGTCCCTCAAACTTCCTTTCCAGAATATGCACTCCTCTCATGGCCCTATGGGCTTCTATGGACTATGTCCATTACCCCCAAAAAAAAGACAATACCATCAAAACTAGCTTACACTTTATCTGAAGCGAGAACTTGCCATACAATTTTGTCATGGATTACTAATGTTCATACTCTCGTGGTGGTATATAAAATATTACATGCCCTACCTAATGTATTTATGCAAAGAAATGAGTTCAGCTTATGGGATTTTATGAAGACCAAAGTTTTACGTCCAGATTAAGTAAATTGTAGAAAACAGAGATGAGCATGCTCATTTTTCACAAACTTTAGTAGATCTATCCAACTTTTGTAGATCTATCCAACTTCCAGATTAAGTAAATTGTAGAAAACAGAGATGAGCATGCTCATTTTTCACAAAATTTAGTAGATCTATCCAACTTTTTTTCTTTTCTTCTTTTTTGTTTTTTGGGGTGGGGTGGCGTGGGGTGGGGGGGGGGGGATGGGGGGGGGCCGAAGGGCGCAGTGAGGGGTGTGTGGTTGGTTGGGGGGTTGGAAGTGGGTGGTGTCAGAGTATATTTTATCCTTTAAAACTCAAATAGAAATCAATTTTCTAGGCAGAACAAGCTATGCTGAGATGAGATGCAGCTTAAAAAGAAGAAACAAGGCTTTCATAGGCCATCAAAAAGACCATGACATGAAATTTCTGGTCTAGTTTCACACATGCCCACAAGAAATAAAAGGGAGAAAACCACAAACCTTGAAGTAATTCCCAACTGGTGTGACATATATAAGAAATGTGTACTCAGGAGAAGGGGCAAGACCTAGAATAGGCCCACTTCCAAAAAGCATTGGACGAATGTATAGAGATCCTTTTCCTGAAGGAGGAGCCTGAAAGAAAACAGTGAGCCACAATCACAATCCACTTATCAATACTGATGTAATCATAATTGTTTCAAGTGGAAATAATTAGCAATACCCAACGCCTGTTGGCTGAAACAGTGTCCCTCACAGCATCTACAAATTGTTCGACAGAAGGAGATGGCATGCACATGCGCTCCGCACCCATAAGCATCCGCAATGCATTTTCTTCTGGACGAAAAAGGATCACATCGCCATCTTGTTTCCTATATGCTTTTAACCCTTCAAACACGCCCTGTAAAAAGACGGATAAAAAAAACATATGGAAGCTTTTAAATGCCATGCCACCAATAAACACAATAATAGAAAACAACAGTTCTGCATGTCATGAACATTGCTCAATTTATCAATTGCCCAAGCTATTGAGAGTAAGTAAATGCCATAATGAGCACAAGCATGAAATCATGAACGGACCGAAACATATACCAAATTTCAAGATCCAAAACCTTCCCTTTTCTCATTTTCTATTTTCTTTTACAGGTACTACTAGATTAATCCCCCAAATTCACAGTTGGAATCAATTCATCTAGCAAGCTGGTATCTCAATCAAGCAGACATTAAGTTCATCCAAAACAAAACAACATCAAAGACAACAACAAAGTGAGAAGGCAAAACTTGATTAACAACCAACAGACTAGGTATCTCAAAAGAGTGTAGAGTTTTTCAAATAACACAAAAGATTTGGTGTTATCTTGACATTCGGCACCCTTAGTTTTATTGAATAGTCAATTCAGCAAAGACCAATAATCATAAAAAACTAGAAAGATGATACATTTGAAGAGAATCATTTAAGCTACTAACTATTTCAGATGCATTATGTATTAGGTTGATAAAGTTGAGCAAAATACAATAGTTACACATTGGAAAAGGAAGAAAGGTGCTCATAAATTGGTCCTTGAAGGATTACACTACTACCTTGCAAGAGATGAGCCACTTGTATAGAAGATTATCTAGAAAAGCCTATTGCTGCATAATCACAAAAAAGAAAAATAAAAAAAGTCCACATCCAACAACGGTAGATAACAAGGATTGTATTAATAATAACAATAATTAAAATAGTGACTAAATAATCAAACATGAATTCATACAGAAGATATTCAAATATACTCCAACTGAAAAAGTATCTAAAATGAGAACTATTATGAGAATTCAGACAATGCTGGAAGCTAAGGATCAAGTTTCACTAACCTGAGCATAATTTAAGACTCCAGCTGATGGGCTCAACTCAATGTTTCCATATTGATGCAATTTTCCATGAGAGAAACTCCCATCTTTAGCACATTTCATCATATACATATAATCAGTTGGTTCAATCCCATATATAAGGTTATCCCAATCAATATCAGCCAACTCTTCAACCTCCCTGCATCACATTAATCAAGCACGTCAATAAGCAATCCCCATTGCATATACCTGCATATATTCGATCATAAACAAATGCCAATATAGCACACAAATTTCTAATATGAAGCACAAAGAATATGAGCATTTCATCATTCCCCATTTCCCACTTGTGCTACTACAAAAAGCAAATTGCATTTCGATTCTGTATCCGACCATGAAAAAAGCAAATTGCATTCCGATTCTGTATCCAACCATGAAACAATAGCTTGTTCTTATTAACAGATACGCATGTGACATAAGAAACACATAATCCTGATTCAGACTTTGGCCCTATGAAAACCATCTCACAAAAGTAGAAAACATATATAAATAAATATACAGGCAGATAAAAGTAAAACTAGCCTTGACACCAGCATACCCACTATATACCTAAGTAAGCTCCATATATAAGTTTTAACCCTATTGCATAGTTACTCAAAATATAATTAGCAAGTGTTTATTGGAATAAGTACTAACCCACATATTAGTATATATAATCAACCAATAATACCAATAAAATAATTAATTATACAAAAACCTTCCATTCTATTACACACTTAAGTTTCTTTATGGATCATTAACTGTTTGAATCTTGTACACGCAATAACCCTTCAAATTGGAGGATCGGGTCAAATAGGTGAAAGTGGACAAATCCGGACACATAAACACACAAAGATATACGTGCTCAAATACATGTACATGAGTCCTATACATTATATAATACAATAAAAACATGGATTTACACAAATTTACAAGGGATTTAGAGGCATTCAAAGTTGCAAAAACTGAAAAGAGGAACAAACTAGATATATTCTCCCTTGGGTTTATAAATGCCTGCAAGTGCGTACTCAACCCACTCTATGAACTCAGCTGATTTTTATCAAGGACTCAACCAGTCAAGAGTCCATATAAAATATCACATTGGAAAAAAGTAGCTGCGTGGACACAAATCAATCTCAGTGAACCTTTCCTATTTGTTAAGACATGTGCGAGAATAAGAGGCATATTGATGTAACATAAAAATGATTTCCAAAAGGATAAGCAAACATTCTTTTTCAATATATCTACTGAATATGTAATGTCAAAAGAAAATGCTATCAACCAGTCCTCAGGGGTTTCTTTCACACTAACCTAAAGGATTCCACTGCCATAGCTTGACACTTTGTTTGAGAAGAAGCTACAGCACTAGAACATATGAAGCAAGAGATGGAGTTGGACTGCAAAGATGTAGTTACAGATATTAGTTATTTCAAGAATAATTTTCTACATCTCCATTTCACATTCTCATCAAAATATAATAAAAAACAAAAATGGGAGAGTTAAAGAGCTCCAAGAACAAAGTCGACAGATGAATATTCATAATCAGAATAATAAAACATATGCATGGATAAAATCAACATGATACACTCACAAACATGAGTGTGCGCATACACAAGCATATGATGCACACTCACACAAATGCACGCACGCACTCATAAACACACACACACACACACACATATTTATATATATATATATATATATATTAAGATGCAGGAACTTGGCCGCATTTTTTGTATGTTTGTTGTGTAATTCTTCTCGTGTAAGATTTCTATATGGTGGTCATATCCCAATTTCGTGAGTTGTGCCAAATTCTCAAATAGATGTATCTCATACCCATGGGTGACTCCCTTCACAACCGGTTCACCTAGATGTCTGTAAATAATCCAAATTTATATCAACTTTATTTTGCAGACCAAATTGTAATGAACAGCTTATCCCCCCTTCATGAGAGGAAAAAAAAGAAAAAAAACCCATTTTCCATGCTTGTCAAGCAAATATTTTTCTTCTTCGGCTGCTTCTTGCCAATATGGTTAAGAGGCAAAATTAGGAAATATTTCCAATCTAGAATGATGAATTAAGATATTTCTTGTGCTTCTTCATGGTGGGCCTTGAATCAACCAACGAGAAGCTTAAGCATAAATGTGATGGAGTGCAAGATTATTCTTATTTCAAACATTTGTTTAATTTCAAAAGATATATATTTTAATTTTAATTTTAATTTAAGGGTTTATTTTTTGGGTTTTCAAGTTGTTTAGGAATTCTAGGGTTCATTTACTATTCCCTAGTTACTATTCAAGAGTATTGTTCATGATTATTGTTCATAGGTATTGCTCAAGAGTATTTTTCAAAGGGATAAACTATCATTATGAATTTTATTTTTTAGGATACATGGGTCAAAGTATTATTTGTTTGAACACTTTTTTGTACTTGGAACATTTAAATAATATTATAAAGATGTGCGTAGGGGCCTAGGAGGAGGCAGTCACACGATTTATTAGAATTGAGAAAAAAGGAAAAACTCAGGCATTTGCAACCCCAACTTTGGCGTGGAGAATAAACCCTAGATTTCTTTGAATTTGCTTGTGTTTGGCTTTGTTTCTTGCTGATTTTACTATTTTCCTACATCAATTTGGTATCAGAGCATAGTTTTCTTCAACAACGAAGCCGGTAAGTTACAGCTAGGTCGAGGGTTTACTGATTTATAGCCTTTAATAGAGAAGAACAGAAGGACCATGATTCATGTAGCCGATCCCAAATAATTGGGATAACACTTGGATGATAATGATGATGATCTCCCATATAAGAAGCTTACCTAGTACTACAACATCAAAATGTGATCAATATCTAAAAAGCTCTTTGATTGTTTGATGATTCAACCTTGATTTTCTTAATTTTAGCATCAAGTACCTTCATTTTCACCTAAGATGTAATACTACAATATCAAGAAATGCTCTACTTCCATATCTAAAGAACCCATAAAAACTGAGAACCCTTTGGTTCAAATCATACTAGTAGGATTACGTGTGTTGCACATATATATGAAATAAGGCATGACTAAAATACCAAACTTATATAATTCATATAATAGTATTATATTGTTAATTTATGATATGCAACTTTGTTACTTTTAAATTTTTATTATGGGTTTATTAATTTCCTAAAATTACAAATTATAAGAGAAACAACATGGATACTACATGCAACCCATGGATGTTAAAGCTCAAACCGAATAGCATGAGACATACCAGTTGTAAATTTGATCTCTTTTTATGGAATATCAAGGAAATATACTACTATTTCTAAGAAGAATTTCTATTTAGCAAGTATTCAGTTAAACAATGTTTTCAATCAAAAAGAGATTGGGTCATGTTAGGTACTTTAGGAAGCAAGAGAATAAAACATGACATCTTTACTCAACTTTATCATCCATCCCAATCTATTCTGGAAGATTTACTCAATATTTTAACCTAAAATTTGGTTATATTTTTCAGTAATGAAGTTTCATAGAGAAATAAATTAAATTTTATACTTTAAAAGTTCCTAAAAGGTATTAAAAATTTAATATGAAAAATATAAAGGATATTAAAAATAAAAATTAGTCCTAAATGTGTGTACATATATGATATGGACATCATAGAAGAAAATTGAATAAAAAATAAAGCGGGGATGGCAAGAATAAATTTAAACCAATAAAAGAAAAGTAAAATATCAATAAACAAAAATTAAAAAAATTTAGAATATTCAACAAAAAATCTCATTACAAATATAATTTTAAGAAAGTTTCTTATTATAGAAAAGGGTCAAAATTAAATATTGAAAGAGCATATAGAAAATTATACTGAAGAACAAGCAGATTCTCAATAATATAAATCTCTAACCGTAGCAAATCCTGCAACTTAAATGAATACAAATTTTTTTTAAAAAATTATCATTATAAAGATGAGTAAAAATTAAATATTACAAGAGAAAAATAGAAATTTATACCCAGGACCAAACATATTGTCAATAATCTAACTCTCCAACCGTAGCAAATCCCACAACTTAGAAGAATAAAAATTTCAGTTTAAAAAAATCAGAACTTAGCAATAAGTAATATTGAGGAATAATATATATAAAATTTAGAAATCTTGACAATTTTATAGAGTTATTTAAAATAAAAATTAAAATAGCTAAACTACAACTATTAGTTACATATATAGCATGGGATCCCAACACATATCAACAAAGATTGAGAATGCCAAAAACATGCACGACTACCTATTTGTATACTTAAATCCTCCATCAAGACATGGACAAACTCAAATCACCAGCATCCTACACGACTAATTTATAATAATAAATGAGAAAATTTCTCATTGTGATTATGACCAATTGTCACATTATATTCTTATGTTTATATTTAAAATTTATCAGCGATTTCTTTTATCATATGGATGTGTTTGTTAGTTTTAGATCTCCTTACATTTACACATGCAATGCATGATGAGGGTGAAAAGAAAGAGAGCTCACGTGGGGGAAGAGAGAGATACATAAATCCTAAATTTTTTGAAATTTTCAATGTAGAATATATAAGATATGTGAGAATTGAGAGATTTTAGGAGATGAGGGTAGATAAAAAGATATTTTAGAAGAGGCTCAAGGGGGGGGAAGATATGGGGGCACGGGAGAGAGAGAGAGAGAGAGAGAGAGAGAGAGAGGAGAG